GCCACAACCATTGTGAGTATGGAAGCGTGAAAATTTGCTTGAGAAATAAGCCAGGGGAAGTTCTGATTCTGTCCATTTTGTAAGTGTTTAATACCCTACATATGCACCCAAGAAATTTAAAATCTTCCATAAATGCAGCACATACCTTCAAAAAAAATCTTGTGCTTAGCCTCTTATAAAATATAATAAATTTAATCTTATGAAAGATTAAATTATGGAGGCCCACATCTTCAAAGGTACCGTGACTATGGGTGAGATCCCACTTAATGTTTAAAAATGTTTCCAACACGTGCAGTATATTTCTGAAAATCAGGAAAGCATACAGGATTTGAGCGTTGGCAGAGCAATGTCTTTGCTGCAGCTTGGAAGACAGAGATGGTGGCTCTGTGCTTAAATGAGATGTTCCCTGAGCTAAACTAATTTCTGGTGTAACACTGCAAAAGTCAGTAGTAAACTGGTCTTCGGGACTGATTCAGTTAAGAAGCTACATAGTGGCTATAATGCTCATAAATGYGTTTTGGGGACTGTGTTTGTTTCTTCTTAGAGTTGGACTGTTTATACTTCTGTTTTCGTTTGTGGGAAATTATTTAACACCAAATTGCAACAGCACTTCAATATTTGAAGCCAATTGGAAGTTAGCCTCCAGCATCATCATCAATGGAAGYAGAAGAATTTTTCAGAGCAGAGCTTTTTCTCCAGTCCCCTTGAGGAGAGGGGCAGGATTCTGTAAGCAAGGCTCTTTCTCTTAGGCTGTTTTCTCCTTGAACATTTCCATGAGCTGAAATGTGTCTTCAGTAATCTAATGTGCATTAATTAGTTCTGAACTCTGCTCAGTTTGCTATCAGTGTTCAAAAAGAGAAGATACATGTTTATGAGGAAGGAAATGCAACTTTTGATTTGCATTTCAGGCCCTTGCCTCTAGTGTTGGGGCAGAAGCAAGCTCTGAGGGCAAGTATAAGGAGAAATTTGAATGTAAGATGGGATTTTGAAAAAAACTCAAATCTTCCTTAAAATCCATTCAGAATCTACCATTATCAAATATGTTTAAAATTACACAATCCATTCCCTTTGAATTTTATCCCTAAATTAACTACAGTCATTAGGATGTTTCCTCGGGCAATTCTTCGCTGATGCGTACTTCTTCCCAGCTGATTTTATTTAAAATGCAACTTCTAGTTCCCCAATGGCTATTCAGAAATGTAACACCTAATCTACAAACCATATTCCACAATGAGGAAGAGAATTCTTTTTTGTATTCCTCCCTCAAAGTACAGACATTTCAATCTTTCCCTCTCCAAATCTTTCCCTTACCTGTACACTGAGGATTTCTATGGGACCAGGTAATGAGGTTATGTAGAAACTTCCCCCAAAAGTACAACTGTAGCAGTGCTCTCAGCCAGAACATCACCCTTTCCTAAGGATATCTGTGCTCCAGAGTCTGATGTTAATCAGAAAGCTTGTACCCCAAATGCCTGCTGTCATGTCATAAGACAAGGTGCTGCCTGGTGCACTTAARTTGGTTCCTGAAACAATTTGGATCGTGCCTTTCCCTGCAGCAGAACCCCTCCTTGTGCTTTTTAGTTGAGCTGTTCCATCTTCAGCGTAGCTCATGTTCAGTTGCAGCCTAGGCTGACAGGTCTGGGCTAATTCTCTGCTGTGGCTACTCTGGAGTCCCATTAGTGAAAGAGCAAGCTGTTTCTTCCTGCCTTAACTTCAGAGTGCTTTGTTCAAATATTGAATACTTGGKACTAGGGTTTTGAAATATTGATACGGGAGAAAGTACAGACTGTCTCGGTCGGGCCTTGTGCAAGCTTTGCTCAGACACCTTGGCGCGCGTAGGGCCTGTGGGGGAAGCAAAAAGGTCAGCATGACTGGCTTTCTGGGGGTGGGGAGGAGCCTGGCCTTTAACAGAGTCTGTAGGAGGGATTTGCTGGGWTGAGATCACTCATGATTTGGCAAAAGTAATACCCAAATGCCATCCATCTACCACAGTTCATKTCTTGCATGGTATTGACCTAAGCAGAGCACAGAATCATAGAACTGTTTGGGCTGGAAGAGACCTGAAAGATCATCTATCTCCATCCCCCTGCCATGGGCAAGGACATATTCCATTAGACCCCATTGCCCCATCCAACCTGGCCTTGAGCACTTCCAGGGATGGGACATACATATCTTCCCTGAGCCACCTGTTCCAGTGCCTCACCACCCTCAGAGTGAAGAACTTCACCCTAATACCTAAACTAACCCCAGTTTAATTTCATTTTGAAGTCATTACCCCTTGTCCTATTCTTACATATGCTTGTAAAAAGTCCCTCTCCATTTCTCTCGTAGCCCCCTTTAGGAAGGTGCTCTAAGGTCTCTCTGGAGCCTTCTCTTCCCAAGGCTGAACAAGCCCAACTCTCTCAACCTGTCTTCATAGGAGAGATGTTCTACCCTTCTGACTATCTTCATGGCCCYCTTCATGACTATATCCTACAGGTTCACATCCTCCTGTTGGGGCCCCAGAGCTGGATGCCACACTCCAGTTGGGGTTTCAGCAGAGCAAATTAGAGCGGGAGAATCACCTCCCTTGACCTGCTGCTCGTGTTTCTCTTGATGTAGCCCAGGATGTGGTTGGCTTTCTAGGCTGCAAGCACACATTTCTTGGTTATGTTGGGCTTTTTGTCAACAACATGCTCAGGTCCTTCTCCTCAGGGCTGCTCTCAGCCATTCTCCACTCAGCCTGTACTTGTGCTTGGGATTGCCCTGACCCAGGTGCAGCACCTTGCGCTTGGCTTTGTTGAACTTCAAGAGGTTGGCACAGGTCCTCCCACACCTGCCAAGGTCCCTCTATGGACCCTTTCCCTCAATCACACCACACAGCTCGGTGTCACCAATAAGCGTGCTCATGTGTGAGGCCAGCCTATGTGATACACAGGTTTGTTCCTTGGGTATTTCTWGGGTCCTGCTGCCCTTTGCATGGGACAGTGRTTTCAGCAAAAACTATTCCACTGGAAATAATAGCCTTGAGTCTTTTATTGATCTTTATGTGTACTGAATAGTCTCCCTGTTCTGTCAAATCTTTTCCTTCAGGCCACTTTTCTGTTAATGCTTTAGTGATGTCTGCAGTAATGACAGATGTGCATTCTTCAGTGATTTTATTCTATGTAAATCTTCCCAATGTATTGGTTTGATATAAAATGACCTCAGTGGCCTCAGGGCTCTGTGAGAGATTTCAGATCCGTGGGAAAAGGGGCTTGTGTATTCACACCATCACCMTAAGCTCTGCAGGCAGCTCTCCCARCTTTCTAAATYCACTGTACTACTGAGGAGAGAGACAGCTTGCTCTGCCTTGATGGCAGCAGATTGATGAATTTGGCTGGAGGTTCCTTGAGCTGCARCAATCACRGSGACTATCACAGTGGTAATGGAATAATWGGGTCCTTTGTGCAAACATCACAAATCCCTTTGTACCCACTTGGGGTACAAAAGTGTGCCCACTTTTGTACCCCAAGCAGTGGGCAGTGTTTTTGTGGCATTGCTGTGGGTCAGCCTGTGTAGGTTTTGGAAAAACATGACATAGCTGCAGCAGATCTTTTACATAGCCTTGTTTTTTAAAATGAAAGTGATAACAGCAGGACAGCCTACATTAACTTCCATGTGCAGCTTTGTTTTTTCTGTGCTCTTTTAGGATGATGGGAATGTTGGACATTTGGTCAYTACAATCTTGGCATGAGCCACAGCACACCAGGGATGAGAGATGCCAAGGGCCTGGGAACCTCTGGCTGTTTATACACATTAGATTCCCTCAATGGACAGCAATGAGAGTAAACACTTGGCTTTGGCTGATTTGGTTTTTGGTTTGTTTTTATTTTTCTTTTTCCCCCTTTACATGATTTCTTCTGCTTCTGTGAGAAGTGAAGATCTTGCAAACAACCCATCTGCATTTTTGCAACACCTCCTCTGTTCCTTGATTATTTTAGTTTGTTGGTGTCACTTTGCATGTTTATACTATTTTCAAATGTTTATGTCACCCTCTTCCCATCGTTTTCTTTTTTTGCTATTGCTTTATAGCATTTGAAAGAGCTTGACAGCTTTTCTTTTCCTTCCTTTTTTACCCTAGTTACCTTAGCAATGTTAATTTTTATCATCTTCTTTTATCTCCCTCTTATTTTTATCTCATAAAGAGATATGGTTTTCACCTTCAGTCTCAAAAAGGAAGCTCCTTTCTTCACCACATCTACACTTTCACTTTTTTTATGATCTGTTGAGGAATTTTCTAACAAAAATGGGGTTAGATCAATGGTGATACTTTTAAGGTGGAGATATATTCCTCATCTGTTCAAAATTACTTCTTAYCCACCCCTGTGATTAGGGAGACGCTAATATAAAATGCTCTGCTACACATGGGCCATGCATGTACATGCTTCTTGTAAGAAGTTCCTTTTTACTGACAACAAAAGGATGTCTCTTCAATATGTCTTTTTCTGCTGCATGCACTAGGTACAATAGTTGCACGCTTAGCTGCCACACAATAGAAATCTGGGTTTCATTTGAATTTTCAAGGTTGTTGGAAGTGCTTTTAGTATTTTTCTCTTCTCTCTTTCCCTCTGCTTTTCTAGTTTTTTTCTCTCCATAGGCATGTCAGCCTCCAGCAGAGTTTGAATAAGAGGAAAGAAGAAAAGAAGACAAAAAAAATTAAAAAGCCAGCAAGGTGTCCTTCGCGTTTCCCTGCACCTGGAACTCCTCATCCTGGCTTCACGCAGCGCCGTTGCGGGAGGTACCGAGCACGGCAAAACCCAGGAATKAGCACGCCAGAAAAACGGGGCGTGAGGGAGGGTTAAAAAAAAAAAAAAATTATAAAAGGGGAAAAAAAAGGAAACCCCGCGATTTGGCGCTGCTTTCCTCCGTGCGGCGCGAAGGCACAAAGAGACGGGGGCGCTGTGGGAGGGCCGGGCTGTCCCGGAGGCGGGGCCGGGCGGGGGCCGGGCCGTGGAGCCGGGGCCGGGAGCGGCGGAGCGGCGGAGCGGGAGGCGGCAGCGGGAGCAGCGGGAGCAGCGGGAGAAGCCGCCATGGAGCCGGGGGGTCGGCGCGGCCGCCCCGCCGAGGAACCACCGCGCCCCGAGGACGAGGAGGTGGACCCCCGCATCCAGGTGAGGGCCTGTCCTCCGAGGGGCGGCTGCGTTTTTAAAATTTATTTTAATGTGTGTGTGTTATGGCTGTATGTAATAATGGTTGCCTTTTATTTTATTGCTTTTTGCTGCTTGTGTGCATACGTATATACATATATATATAGACATACGTACTCACACATATATACACACACACACATATATGTTGGTTTTTATTTTTTTATTTTTTATTTATTTTTTTTTCGGTTGCCCGTGCCAGGCGGTGYGGAGCAGCCCCGGGTGTCTCGGTGCCCGGCGGGAGCGAAGGGAAGCGGTCCCGGGGTGCCCCAGCCCTTTGTTACCCCGGGCATCGCTCCGCGCCGGGCTCTCCTGGGCGTCCCTCCTTCTCCTCTTGCTGAAATCCCCCCTCCCCTTTTTAGTTTTGACCATGACAGCGTGACCTTGCTTGTGGAGCTGGGCTGGTCCTCAGACATTCATAAATGCGGGAAAACGTAGATTTTAAAATGTTACTTTTTAATTTTTATAATTWTTTTTTATTTCTTTTAAAAAGGTGCTCTAGGGGATTATGGCGTTTCTTCCCTATGAATGCCTTCTGCAATGCATTTTATTCTTGCATGGTTTCTAAACAAAGCTTTTCTCCCCAAAATCATGTCTTGACCAATAGCCTGGTGCAAACTTCAAGCACGCTGTGGTCCCTGAAATGAAATGTATTTCTAGGTCCAAGCACGGTGTGGTCCCTGAAATGAAATGTATTTCTAGGTCTCTGCAGATTTATGGCTTTTGCCTCCAGCATTTCTGGGACTGTTTGTCATGAATGAATATAACATGTGTGTACATTGCTGAGAGGATCCTTGGCGTAGGTCCCTGCTCGCTGTAATTGTCATTCTTTTCTTCATCGTGAGCATTTCTTTTTCCAGGGCTGAGCAGACCAGTTGCAAAATTCTCAAGACGTGGTTACACAGAGYGAGGCCCTCAGCCAAACGCTAGCCTCGTACTGCCCTGTTTTTAAGAAACTGAGCTCGCTTGGTGTCTATTGATCTAATTTTGGCCTCAGGGTCTTCAGCTTAAAACATGTTTCCACATATGTGATATGTAAATTGTTGGCAAAACAATTGTTTTTGTGAAGTTTTCTGTTTGGTTTGAAAAACAGGCTGCCGTGTCTGCTTCCGYGAGAGCCATAAGGTTTTTAGCCAATTAGGTAATTTTTGGATGAGTGTTCGTTTCAGACAACATGGATATGCAACTAGGTATTTTCCAAATCCTAGGAGTGGGAAATGAAATCTGACCTCTGAGGATAAGAGAGCTAAACTGTTGTAATTAATTCCTTTCTGATTGTAACCAGAGTCATTCTTGTAGTCTGTTGGGAAACTGCTCAAGTGACAATCAATTTACAACATTCGGTTTGTACAGCAAAACGTTTCAAGGCGTGTTCTGTTACAGTGGTTGGCAATTAAAATAACGCTTGCATTGGAGAACAGTCCTGTCAAAAATCTTATAATCTTATAAGCATGAAGGAACATGTTGCTCTGATAAAGAAAGCTATCAGATCTCCTCCTGAGGGTTGCTTTTTGTAGTAAAAAAGTAATTAAGAATGAGCTTTATTTTTACAGTAACTTCATTCATGCCAACACCACCTCTACTACATATTTATTCAAGGGATCAAACACSTTTGTTTTTGCTGTTAAGGAATCAAAATGTTGTCAGGAAGGCAAACTATGTAAACATAATTATACGTCCCATTGACTGGTTGTGTCATGAAGTGGTTTTCCAAAATCCAAAATAAAATGCCTCTCRTACAGCAGGACGTGTTTCTTATCGTTTCTGTCCTTTCACTGTGTGTCTCCTGTGATAGTAATAACTTCATCCTAATCTTTTGRGGTGGGCGTGTCTGTCTCCCTAGTWCCTTACTGATACTGACTGTATTGATTAATGAGATAGCGCTTACAGTACCTTGTGTTTATTTGTTATGGTGGAATAAGTAGCCAGAACAGGAAATGTATTGCCTTAACATAAAACTATAGAGCTTCTCTGATTGTTTTTTCTTTTAAGTAGAAGAAAGTAGAAGGCCAGTGGCAAAGTTAAGCTAAACATCTTAAGGTTTCCTCTTTTCACTGAATTTGTAAGCCACAGCCCCTGTGAGCTTTCAGTGGGGATGCTGAATGAACCTTCTCAGACATGTTTTTTTACCTGATTTCTTACTATGCRTCTGACTTTCTTTCTTTCTTTCTAGGGGGAGCTAGAAAAACTGAATCAATCTACAGATGATATCAATCGCAGAGAGACAGAGCTGGAGGTACAGAATTTATCTTTGCATTTCCCTTTTGTGCATGTTGGATTTTGTGAACAGCAGGACAGTGTTTTTGAGTAGGTTGCCTCTTGAATTTGTGCATTCTGAATGGTAATTTTGCTACAAGACTCTGATCATGAATTTTTTAAACCTGTGAATTGACCTAACAGCTGAAAGAGAAGGGGAGAAGGTAGAGGTATGCTGACAGTGTGAAAATCCAGTGTGGAGAACCTCACACACCATCACTGCCAGAGCTTATTTTTAGGTTTTGACACTAACCTTAGACAAGTTTTATTTTTACAAGTCACTGTTTTGTGTTTGTTGATTATAGACAGGGAAAGTTTATTTGGGTAAGAGGTTTTTGCCATATTGCTGTCTGCCAGGACCTTCTCTTTGGTGGCTTTTAGAGGTTTTTTTAGCTTGTTATCTTTGCCTTTTTWGTCATCTTTTCCTGAGAAAGGAAGGTGATGAAATAAAGCTGGAATGAAATCCTGGTTATACAGGATTTTTTTTTTTGTGGATACTTAATTCTGAAGAAATTGTTTCTAAATCCCCAAATTTGATCTTCATATACTTGGTAGATGTTCTGGAAGGCTCAACATTATCGATCTAATAGTGAARCAAAACAAACTGGCCTATTTGTGTGTCTAAATTTTCTTTTGTTTGCAAAACAAAGAAGATAAACCCAGTGGAAGTGTAAGATGAATATGCTGCTAAAGATAAACTGGCATAAAATATGACTTTACATCCTAAATTATTTTGATATCATTATGAAGCTTTGAATACTGTATCAAAACAGCCTGAGATTGCAGTGATGAATATTCTATGAAAGTACCTCTGTAGATTTCAAGATACGTCTGTACCTTCAAAATGTCCAAGTGTATTTTTTTTTTTTTGCTTGTGTATGWCTTTTCATAAGATGGGTACCTCAAGCATGGAGTGCTTCTTGGTAGAATTTTGAAATACTGGAGTATCCACTGAGTGCACTGAACAGAAATTAGGATTATGATCTTTGGAAACATAGCAGCCTTGATTTGTATCTTTTTTTTTTCTCCCCACTTGTTTAATTTTCTGTCATTTGCAGCATGTAGATCCTGAATTTATTGGTGGATAAACTTAGTTAAATGGGGAACTATTTGCTATGCAGAATTAAACGATATTTTAGCTGTKAAAACTGTTCAGTGTCACTAGCTTGATTTAAGTTTTATGAGCTTTAAAAATCAGTATTCTAGTCTGCAACAGTACCAATTAAATGGACTTCAGGACTCTTTATATAGACATATTGAAAAAATAATCATTATATGTATCTTCTCAGTCTCCTTATTTCATGCTGAGGTACTGAAATTGAAAGATTGTGCTATGGATAGTTGCCTGGATTTCATTAATTTTGTCATAACCTTGCACTGAGGACATATTATGAAGCAGATGGAATAGTAATAATGATGSGAAAGCATGCTGGTGAAATAAGTCTCAGTGACTTTAAGATGGGATTTTGCCGCTTGATTAAAATTATTCATGTGTTCGAGTGTTTGTCGAGCCTACAGATTTGCAGCTACTGTGTGTGTGACACGTGCTGAGCTATAGAGGCTGAAAAGCTCCTGGAAATATAATTGTAAATAAAAGAGCAGAATTTCCACATTTGCTTGGTATTACATTGTTGCTTACTTAGCCTAGTAAATACCAGGTGTTAGATAGGTAAAAATCATAGAACTGCACTCTGCCATTAAGTGTTTACTGCAGATCTGTTGTGCTTACAGGCTTTGATGGAATTAAGGGGAAATACCATCTTTCAAAAGGTGGTATCAATACCACCATGCRAAGAATAAGTACATTTTCTTGAATGTTTCCTTTTCACTTTCCATCCAAAAATCTTACTGGATGGATGCCAGTTTGTGGTATCATGCAACTGCTTAATTTTTAATCCATAAAGATTTTCATTACATTTGATCTGCTTAAATGTTGAGGACAAATGCAATTGGATGATGTAATCAAGGCTTAATTATAAGGCTTAATTATATACATGTTGATAAATGCATTTTTAGAGGACTTAAAATGTTTATAGGGGAAAGGAATGAAAAACACCCCATAACACCCAGTGCTTGTGGTCAGAAGAAAATCTCTGCATTCRTACTCTGGACAAGAAAAGAAAGCTTTGCTAAGCAGCCTTGTGGGATAAATCCATAGGTTGGAAGGAGGAGCTTGGAATTGGGATCATTCTGCTTCGAAGATTTCTACAATCCATAAGTGCTGCTGAAAATGTGGGCTTTTGGGAGAGCCATGCTGAGTTTCCCTTTGAAGATTTGCTCTTTTGGCTCTTATTAGCTGCTTTGGGTCCTTCTGGCTACCCCTTCCTAGTTTGTGGTGTTCCTGCTAAATTTCGTTGAAATAAAGTTGTGTGTGGATGTTTTTTAACCAGACAATGGAGTTATATTTATCCTGTTTTGCTAATATCATCTTTTCAATATCTTTAATGGGGACATGGATTATCATTACATTATTTAGTGCTCAATGTGCTGACTACCAGCTTCCTGTAGCATTACTCTGTGGTCCATACATTCCCACTGTTGACTTTTTTTTCCCCAGAGTAATCTGTAAAAGCAATGGGGCTGTTTGAGTGGAAGGTATATTTCTTTGAAGGAAGTTCATAAAAAGACACCCATGTTTTTGTGACTTGATGTACTCCCTGATAAGCAGGAAGGGTAACCTTGTGGCATMTGAATTCTGCAAGACTGTTCTGGACTTCCTGTATGTAGCTTTGTGTGAACTGCTCTAAGTGGGAATACTGGCTGTCTCCAGGTCCCATAAACTGGAAAAAAAAAAGCTGTTAAATGCTTCTAAACCCAGGTGTGCCTCAGGTCTGCATCTGCAGAATGGAAGCAATAATGCTGCTTTATCTAGTGGAACATGTTATGGGGCTGACTTCAGTAGAGGCTTCTAGGATTTTGAGACWACACTGTCTTAGTGTAGCCACAGTGTCCATGTTTGAACAATGTAGAAAATATTGGTGTCTGCTACTTACAGAGGTGGTAAAATGGGGAATTCTGTTTTAAGCTGACCAGCCTGCCATTTCATTTTTTTAAGTTCTGTACTGAAACTACCATATGATCTGTTTTTAAGTTGAGCAGCCTCCCTTTTTAAATATTTTTAAACTAAGTTCTGCACCCATAGCGCCTGTGGGAGCACTGGATACACATACATGGCACGACTTGTGAAGTTGGCAACATGTATTTTACTTGGAAGAATCACTCATTTTTTGCTCTTTTGACCTATCCTGTTAAACCCTGAATAAATAGCCTGACCTGCTGACGCTCGCAGGCTGTTCAGGAGCTGCGGAGCTGCTGAAGGGCAATGAGTGGCTGATGGTTACATGTTGCATTAATGTATTGCCTGTTAATGAATCTTTGATTAGGCTTRATTTAAAATCCATAATGCTGCTCATAATAAGTGCAACACTGGGCATTACTGACACAGCAGAAGGATGATAAGGGCTCTCTGAGGGATTTAACACTTGGCTTTGCTAATGTCCCTGTTTAGGTTTGAAGTGTCTGTGAAGAGCTGGGGGAAACATCTTGCAGGGGTGATAGTAGTGTGTTTTGGCCAGCTGCAAGAGCTTTTATCCTGTTTATTGGAAATGCCATCTCCATCTGAACTCGCATCAGGAGCTGAGAATGTACTTAACAAATGTGCATGACTTGCCTGTCCAGCCAACTCTTACATGAAAGTTCAACTCAGATGTAGCAAATCCACCCAGGGACCCTCTGGCAGCGTTGCAGGGAGGGGAAATGCAGCACATACCATTAAAATTACCRCTGGAATTCCAGCTATCCCAAATGTGGTTTTTGTTAGAGAGGGTTTTTGTGTTGCTGGAGCTACAGGCTTGCCAATGTTTGTTCACGAGAGATACTGCACAGGAAAACTAGAACTGAACAGTGCTGCTTTCAGGCATGCTTATTAGAGGGCCTGGTTGGGATCCTTCTTGTATGCTTACCTAGATCCTTCAGTCCTGATCTGCAAGACTTTGTTACTTTTAGCCCYGTTACAAAGGTCACCCTGGGTTGTTGTTGGATGTAAGGAAAGGGGTTTATTTGCTGTGGTGCTCTTTCACTCGCGAGCTGTGTCAGAAGGGGAAGGATTTTTTGTCRTGGTTTAACCCCAACTGGCTGCTAWGCATGACGCACYCCCTYGCTCCCTYCCCACCGATGGGATGGGAGGGAGAACGTGAAGAGTAAAAGTGAGAAAACCCGTGGGYTGAGATAAAGACAGTTAAGTAAAGCAAAAGCTGCACTCATAAGCAAAGCAAAACAAGGAATTCATTCACTGCTTCCCATTGGCAGGCAGATATTCGCCAGTTATTTAGAATTGCTTCTTAATTCTTCACTAAAATACTTGTTTTTTAGGAAAAAAAATACTTGAGCTCTTGACCTTGTCACACATAAAAAATTTAAGTAGATTTAAAAAAAAAAAATCCTCTGTGTTTCAGGTTTCAGAAAAATGACCTCTCAGTGGGTGGAATCTTATTCTGAGCTTGCCTGCTTAGCTTGAGGAAACATCTATGGGTAGAAACATCCGCCACCTTATCAGTATCCCTGTGCAGCATTTTCCAGTGTCCACAAAAGAATGCCGAGATAAGGGCAGAGCTCACTGCTCACTGGCTGGTGTTCCTGCTGGCTTTTGGAGGAGGATGTACATGCCTGATGGATTCATCCAGCACTGTCAGGACAAATCTTTCCACATCTCTTTATGATCTACTTGCTTCCATAGGAAATGGCTCCTGTGTGTGAATTTCTTGTTGTTTTGCCTTTTTGCTTTCATCCAAGGAAAGTAAGGAAAGGCTTCTTCCTCTGTTATGGCTCTGGAAAGATTTTGTCACTCAGATGAGTCAAAGGGCTTTACTTGATTCACGTTCTTGAAGCAGATGTGGGTTTCCAGCCTCAGAGAGGAGCACCCAGTGCCCTCCCCTGCCTTCTTTCTTCTCTCTTCTTCTAAGAGAACTAAAAATATTTGTAGTAAAAAGTTTTGTTAGCCTCAGTTTATAACTGAGGTTAGAGCAACTTTCAGGTTCTGATTTCTTATTGTTCTTGGATGGCAAATTAGTAGCTGCCTGAGACCCAAAAAAATGTGCTTAAAAACTGAGATACTATTATCCCTTTCCCTGCACTTTGTTTTGAAGATTTGGTCGCCATTCTGGCTTACTTGAACCGTTCAGGTACCAAATAGATATTGAAGTGTCTTTAACTGTTTTGATGCTTGAGAGTTGATTTCTGAGCACAGCTTGTGCATCTCCCTGGGGTGTGTGTATGATACTGATGCTGCTTTAGCTTGGAGATGTGCTTTTGCAGCTGGCAGGTCTTTGTAGCAGAGAAGATGGGTATAGGTACTGTCAACCTCTTGGAAACAGATGAAGCCTGTCTCTCAGTCAGCAATTCCATCTCCCATGCACCTCCCATGCTGGCTTAATGAGAGGATCTGCACACCAGGCTGCCAGAACAGCCATGGGACAACCTTTGTAAGTGAAATTTAAATGTGCTTGGTACTAAGATGCTTCAGACGTGGTTGATACGTTAAGCTCATTTTGACAATAAAATTGTTTGAAAATACATATTTCATTTGATAGGCAGAAATAGTTATTTGCCTGTCATCTGGCATCTAACACCAGCTCATCACCATCACTCATGAGAAAAGAAAACCAGCCATGCTTTTTTCTCTGACAATTGTAATACAGGTTGAAAATTATATTTAAGTTTTTTTCCCGCATTTGAGAGCGGCTCTTCAAAATGCTGCTGTGTGGATGGCCTGTCCTTAACTGTGGTCTCCCTTTTGGTGCAGTATCAAATAGYTGCCCAACAGCAAGTCACTGGAAACAAAGTCTGCTTTTACTCGTGAACTATTGCAGCAAAAACATATACGGGGTAGAGGTCTGGCATGCTCCCTAAGACAGTGCTACTGAAATCTGTTTTGAAAGAAAAATGCTAAGGATTTTCAGGAAGAAAGCAGCCGTAGAACAAGATATTGAAATATAAACTGCAGCTGTTCATGTGGTGCACTGTTACCCTTGCTAGTGTGTCTTTGACAAACACCTAGCTAGTGACAGTCTACTTAGTAWTACTGTAATTTAAGTGAGAAGCTTSTACTGCTACATTTTTTTTTGTTTTACCTTGTGACACCACACATTGAGGATAAAGTGCCTTAATCAGCTTTTGTCCAAATTGGAAAAGGTTTATCATCATCTCATTTGAGCAAATAGGAGGGAAAAGCATTGAAAGCTTGACTGGCTARCATTTTCAATGTCACCTTTGTATTTCTGAAATCAGCAGCAAGATGTTCTTAAAAATGATCACAGAAGATTGGGAGTGAGTAGATGGGAAAATATGCTTTAAAAATGTCAGGGTGTTTAAGATGTCTCATGTCAGTTGTATTGCTTCTGTTAGAGTCTGTGTACATATTCAGTGCAGTGGTGAGGTAAACAAAATACATGTTTTTCAAAAAACAAAAACAAAACCTAAAATCCCACCCAGAAATGGTGTGATTCACATAGTACCTAAGGCTGCATACTTGCTGTTATCAATGAATAGCATTTCTGCTAGAATGAATTATCTTTCAAGAAGCTGWAATACAGATACTACAGATTGAGGACTGCTAGAAAATTTCTATGGCATATGCTGCACTGTCTTGGTCTTGCTCATGACAAGAAGTTGCAGGAATTGGCTTATTTTCCTTTCTGTGTTATCCATGTGTGCTRGATAAAGGTCTAAATGAAGTGAGAGTTTGGTGATTAAACAGTAAGACTTGATGGAGGCACAGGGCACACCAGAGGATTTGATAAATAGGTTGAAAGTGTTGGGATTGTCTTCCTAGCACAGATGAACTGCAGTGATGTGCTGTTCTGAACCTCTAAGTTTTTGATGTGAGTGTCCTTACAGAAAACACCTTTAAGAGGATTTATGGCTTTGAACCACTTCACGTGTGGGTCGAAGTGTCTCACTGACAGTAACRTGGGAAGCTGGATATAAAGCAGTGCATTAAATCCGTTCCCAAGTTACTGCCTTGACCACAGGCCCATTCTTCCCATGAACCACAGATGAGCTACTCGTGTCATGTAAGGAGTGAGTGCACCAAGCCCAGTCCTGCTGGTGCAATTGCCTTGGTGCTTCTGACCTCCCCCGTTTCACGTGAAGAGTAAAAATACCTGCTGCACCTGTAGTTCTTATTCAGACTTCCCCAGGGTTACCTGCCAGGGGCCTTTTGCACTGTCCCAGGGGTGATGTCTTTTGCAGATGCTCTGCCAGCATTTGGCAGGGCTCACACACTGAACTGAGGCACAGAGTAGGGTGATGTGTTTGCAGGAGGGAACTGTGACCCTGCTCACAGGAGGTGTTGCCATCGCTCCCAGATCAGAGGCATGGTCAGGAGAGCTGAATCAGTGTGGCTTGAGGAAGCCTGGCTGGTGTGAAGGCACCATACCACATTGGATCATTTGCTTTTGCGGGTGGAAAGTAAAAGTGGTGTGTGTAGTGCAGCAGGGGGCATGAGTTTGGCATAGCACCCTCTCAGAGACCTCAGTATCCTGTTGCTGGCTCTGAAGGGGATGGCTGGAGACCTTTGGTAGGGGGACTGCTACCAGCAGAGAGTGAACATCTGCTTGTTTTGTCATGCAGAAKGTGTTGGAGCCTGCAGGCTTGTGCTCCTGACAGGCAGGAGCGTGAGAATAAATGCCACTTAATAAGTCAGTGATAGGAGATACAAAGTTCTGGTGTTTCATTTTTCRTTATTGTTCTTCACTGCAAGAACAAGGGTATTCAGACCTAAATAAAGCCTCAGAAGAGGAACCAGTCATCTTTGGAGGAAAATTATAAACTGGAAGTTCRCACCATTATATTTTTCAGTTGAAGCTTCCTGTTCTGTGTAACTACTGTATGGAGTGGGGCCGTGCTCATGAGCAAACGTGTTTCACCCTTTCCAAGACCTGTGCTTCAGGCACAAGTTAGAGGAGCACTTCCAGTTCAGTAATGTGCATCTGCTTCATCAGAGTTAGAGGGAGATGAGTAGGTACAGAAGTTGCTGTTAATTTGACTGCTTTGTCCTTGGTSTCTTTTGGTTTTTTAAACTCCAAGTGGAGACTAGTCATCTTTTTCCTATTGAATAAGTATGTAATTATTATATGAATAAATTTGGGGTAGGTCTCTAAGCACAGATTTTTAGCGATGATTTSTTTGTTCCAAGTGCTTATCTTACCAACGTGGGAACCGAACTTTTTGAGGCATCACCGCATAGTACTTTCTTTACTTAAACTATTTGCTTTGCATTGCTAATATCCTTACATGCAGCTTTCACAAAGAAAATGAAAAGACATCTTCAGGCTCATTCATTTAGAAATTTCTTTGTTAAATATACTTCAGTACTTAATATTTTTCTGGCAATATAGTCATCATACTTGGGGTCTTATTTCAGTTACTTATGAAACTCATTTTGAGCAGTGAACCATGTATCGTCCAGTAATTGAATTGGAAATATTCAAATTCTTCTCACTGAGAAAATCATTGACTCGATATGTGTTGTTTAAATGATACATTTCAGGCTTTCACTGAGAAGTGAGATTTTTGACTAGATTTGAGTTAATGAAATAATAAGTTCATGTCCATTTATTTCTCCATTTTTGACCTTGTTACCCATTTGAATAATTCCTTAGAATAAATTGGAATACCTTAAGAATACAAAGCTATTTGCACTGGACTRAAATAATGCTGATGCTGGTTCAGGCTTTACATAACACTAAAAAGGAAGCGAAGAAGCTTTTACAGAAGTATGTTGGTTTTTCTGTGAAAACTGATGTATTGTTGCAATTTTTTCGCTTCTGGGAGCATAGTGGCAGCTTCCAATGCATTTTAAATCTTCCAGTGAATAAGCAGTTTTGCATTCTAGAAATCCTCAAYAATAATGACAAAACTCTCCTAAATTAGGGCACTTCTTCAAGCCAGCTGCTTCCTGATTATCAACATGTCACTCTAGCAGTCTGCATAAATGCTGCTCTCTAATTAGAGTTACAAGCCTTGTTGAAAGCTCACATGGCCCTTCCTCTTCATCTCCTTAAATCCTGGGCCAGGTCCCAGCCTGAATTTGCATCARTCTGCAATAATTTCATATATTTAGAGTCTGTGTTGGATTCTGAGATTGAAATCAGAATCACTTTGCCTACATGTSTGGAAATTTCAGTGGAGCAGAGAAAATATTTTAATTGCTTTAGCTAATTGTGTGAGGAGGGCAACTCATCCCATTTGGAAGCAGCTGGAATTTACYTTTTTTAAATACAGAAAATATTGACAATGAGGTGGAAGGTAGGTGCCTTCTCTATTGATAGAAGCCGTAGCTGAAAAGATGGGCTTTCTGTGCCAATTGCAGCTGATTTGCCAGCCTGTTGTGGGGATTTGGCCTGCCTGCTAGCCCCATTCTAACATTATCTCTGTGAGGTATCTTTGCCATTGAAGTCCCTCTCAGAACTTGTTACACTGCTGTTTCAACCTCACTGAGTGAGCAACTTGCAAATAATTCCTCTCTGAGAAACCCTGCCAGAGGTAACATTTCGAACAGCCTGTTGTAGGCTTTATATAAAAGCTGTCTCCAAAGGGCAAAGGTTTGGTGTCCAGCATGCCAGCTTTAGGATTTGGCTCTCAGTTCCTGGGTTCCTCTGCTGGAGAATTCAGGCTTAGTCCAAATGGCAGTAACTCTTTTGAATGTGTCAGGTCATATGTGAATCTAAAGAGGAACCTGAGGGTAGGAACAAACAGGTAGAAATAATTTTTAAAGCTCTAATCTTTGTCCTTTCTTTCCTTCCTTCAACATTTTGAAGGATGCACGCCAGAAGTTCCGCTCTGTCCTGGTTGAAGCAACAGTAAAACTGGAYGAACTGGTCAAGAAGATTGGAAAAGCTGTAGAAGACTCTAAACCTTACTGGGAAGCTCGGAGGGTGGCCAGGCAGGTAAGAACTTTCTGCCTTGTAAGCCTGTGGTGGTAGTTGGAGGGCACACACTGATTGAGTTGCTTTTTTGCTATTAATAACATGCTAAGCCTGTGCACTTGGCTGACACTGGCTTGTGTCTTCAGTTGCGTGTCAGCCATGGGAATCAATGGCAAAATGAATTTCTTTACAGCCACAGCTGCACATGTTCTTCAAACCTAGAACAGCTACAACAAACACAGTAGCATAAGACTAGTTCTCTTCTCTCATTACAAATGGCCTTTCAGAGCCTTGCTCTTTCCTATCAGTARTTGTACTTATTTGAAAATACAGTGCAGACTTTGTCTGCTTTTAGTTCTTAAAGCAAAATGCTCAGCAGCTAAATGGCTGCAACTGGAAGCTGCAGGGAAAGAGGCWGGAGTGGGGCAGGCTTAGGGAAGCCTGCAGGGGTTGGTGCTGATTAGGTTGTGATGAAGCAGGAATGTGCTGAATGTGACTCTAAAGTGTTTTGGTTTGGGGACAAATTCAGCTTTGCTTTCTCTGTCATCAGGGACACAAACTTCCCATGCCCCAGCTACTACTTGGTTATTGATAGGCCTGTGTAGCTCAGGGCAGAATGAGGTGTGGAAGTAAGGGACCTGCTGGATGAAGGGAAAACCAGAAAGCTTGTGATCTGTCAGGCAGCATCTCATTCCAGGTAAAAAGCTGCTGCAAGTGGAGTGGGTGATGGGTTAGGCAGTGCTTCTGCTGCGTGTCTCTAGTGGGGTTTGCTGGTATCTAAGGCTTTTTGGTTTTTCCCCAAGGGGACCCTGTTCCTGGTTGCTATTTCTGTTTCCTGTTGAGGCAGGAAGAGTCAGGGAGAACTGCCTAGAGCTGCTGCTTCTGTGCTTGGCTGGGAGGATGTGTGTGGTGGCTGAGCAGCTGGGTATGATTGTGTTCAAGGCAAGAGTGAGAGATGGGGTGGCATGTGTGAAATGCGTGAAAATTGCAGAAGGATTTTGTTTGTAAAAATAGGTAGAGGGATGAGAAAACTAGAGTAGGTGTGTACCAGGAGACAGAGAGTAAACTCTTGGGTAAGAGAAGGGGAGAGAAGAGAATGTATCCTTAGAGGAACACATGGGAACATGAGCACAAACTTCATTCCCTTGAAAGCTGATGAAGCAGGAAATGGATTGATGGGATGGGGCATACAAGATRGTACTTGACTTGCTGATGCTTTAAATTGCATAGCATTGTTTTGTGCCATTTTCTCAGGCAGTGGGGGTGAGGTCTAGGGGCTATTAGGCTTAATCCTGCAGACTAGAAGCAAATAGGTAAACTCTCCTTCAAAGCACAGCAAGCCGGGTATCTGCCTCTCATCTGTCACTGCTCATGGTGACTATGGTGTGTGCTAAACACAYTATGGTGTGTGTTAAACTAGTGGTGAGCTAGAGAAGTTAATARTTGTGTAAACTAGTATTTTCAGTTTGGAAAAGAAAAATCCCTGCAGCTCTTCCTTGAGTATGATCTTATACTTCTATTACTATAAATAGCTGTAAAGGCACAGTGTGTGTAGGACTTCCAGAGTTACACTTTTCCAAGTCAGTGGTAGAAGCACATACTTTGCAGTACAAAAAAAAAACCATCAAAAGATCAATTGACTTTGAGGTTTGTAACATCACAGACTTCAGAGCTGCGAACTTTGCCCTCTGTCCTGAAGCTGGCAGCAGATTATGTTCTGGAAATGGAATTTTGTATTGTTATGTCTCTGCTACCCCTGAAATCCATTAAGTCATTCTGATTCAAAGATGCTTTGCAAGACCACTCAGAAACCCAAGCTCCTGGTGGTCCATAAATTAGTAGAAACACTGCTTCACTAGTGGGCTTGTTAGAGAGAACCATATTTTTTCCCAATCCATTCTGTCACTGGCTAGGTTTAAATGCTATTTATTTCAGGCTGTTTATTTGCCTCACACTCRGTTGTCTTTTAGTTCCTGGATAGCATTTTATTTTAAAGCAGAGATTGCCCTTCTAAYCACTCATTTAACCTTTTTTAAATTTTGTGTTAGGAATCTAGTCATGAAATAGAGTTCCTTCTTTGTATCTGMTCTGTAGACAGGGATAGAAGATGGTCTCTGGTTTCCCTTTGGCTCTTTGTCTAATAATATCTTAAAATGGAAAATGTGAGGGCCAAGAGGAATGCAAACATTGAAAGACAGGGACTGTATCTGRAAACTGGGAGGCTGGAAAGATTAGTGCCAATCACCAGTAAAGCATCTGCGTAAAGAGTTTTTCTAGTTTTAATTTAATCTAGAAAAGTTCCACTTAACTGGGAGAAATCCACTACAATAAAGCAGGGAGAAAGGGTTAGTAGGTAGGGAAATACAAAACTGGAAGAATGTACCAGATTATTAACATGGTTAGGTTCTAGTTTGCATGTCTTTTTACTTTGATTTGCAAAACTGTAGAGAAATCATGGGAACAGATTGTTATTTTTTTCCATTTAAATTTATAATTACATCTAGCTTATGAAGAATTGTCTTTCTCCTCCTGTCTTTACAGTTATTTTAGAACCATTAAGCTGCCTTCAGAAATATAGGCACAAGGTTCTTGGAGGCTGAAAGAGCTTTAATTTAACAATAAGGGAAAAATGCATGACTCTACTTGTAAGAAAAAGGGAAGTGTAAATTCCTGTTTGTTGTTCTCACTAAAGGGAAGTAAAAACATGACCTATGAATTTTAAGCCTTTTGGAAATAAAGAATTGCATAATTCATGACGTTAAGTTTGGCAGAAAGACAGGAGTTATCCAGAGTTACTTKTATTTAAGATGTCAACTGCAGGGTGAGTTGCCTGATGCAAGCTGTATTGAGTCACATTGAGGAGCTTGCTTTCACTTGGCACCAGCCTGAGTCTCTTTTGGAAATACATGTTTCATCTGTTAAGGTAAAATCCATTAAGGAGATATGAAGGCAGTGATATGGGGTCATTAAAAAACAGGTCACCAACTAAAGTATGACACTGGAGAAGCTTTAGGATCTTGAGCCCTTTTCCCTACTTACCCTTATCCCTATCTTGTGCAATCCTGTGTTGGCAGAAGATAAGSAATTCAAAACAAATTAACTCTCCTGTGCAAGAGTCCTATAGCATCTTGTTTGTGTAATGTTTGCCCAGAGACCCTCAGCCTGGCCTATCTCAGGGTGGAAGTTTGCTTTCCTGGAGCAATGGTCCCTTACAAATCAATGGTTTCGATTGGAGTGCTTTGAAATAGGGGTACAGGGAGTCAGGACACCATCTGTTAGTACCAAAGCAGTAATATTTGGCTTTTGCTGAGACTCAAGTGAGATCTGGCTAATATTCTTGCTCAAGTAGATTTCATGTAACTTCTGCCAAGACAGAACTGCTTGTTGTGATTCCTCATTTGGTACAGCAGTGTTGACTGCAGGCACACCTCACTATTTTGGAGTGTTTTGACTCCAATTTGTTGTTAATTTWAAAGTATTTGTGCTGCAAGAACTTTTTTTTGTGTTTGGCATATTGGTTTTCTTGTTGTTCTTTAACTTATGCCATAATGCCAATGTTCAGTGGGAGAATCTTGGCACATAGCAGAGGATGATACATGTACACAAGCTCATGCCCACATTGCAGCAATATGAATTTCCTATAATCTGGAAGATGGCTTAGGTTCTATATGTTCAGAAAATCAAACTTTCTATGTCTG